TGGGGATAGCGTTGAATCTGTAAATTACTTTGGGCAGTGTGGCCATTTTTACGATATTGATTCTTCCTAACCATGAACATGGAATGTTTCTCCATCTGTTTGTGTCCTCTCTTATTTCATTGAGCAATGGTTTGTAGTTCTTGAAGAGGTCCTTTACATTCTTTTTCAGTTGTATTCCTAGGTATTTTATTCTCTTTGTAGCAATTGTGAATGGCAGTTTGTTCTTGATTTGGCTCTAAGTCTGTTGTTGGTGTATAGGAATGCTTGTGATTTTTGCACATTGATTTTGTATCCTGAGACTTTGCTGAAGTTGCTTATCAGTTTCAGGAGATTTTGGGCTGAGACGATGGGGTCTTCTAAATATACAATCATGTCGTCTGCAAATAGAGGCAATTTGACTTCCTCCTTTCCTGATTGAATACCCTTTATTTCTTTTTCTTGCCTGATTGCTCTGGCTAGAACTTCCAATATTATGTTGAATAGGAGTGGTGAGAGAGGGCATCCTTGTCTAGTGCCGGATTTCAAAGGGAATGCTTCCAGTTTTTGCCCATTCAGTATAATATTGGCTGAGGGTTTGTCATAAACAGCTTTTATTATTTTGAGATACGTTCCATCAATACCGAGTTTATTGAGAGTTTTTAGCATAAAGGGCTGTTGAATTTTGTCAAAGGCCTTCTCTGCATCTGTTGAGATAATCATGTGGTTTTTGTCTTTGGTTCTGTTTATGTGGTGGATTAGGTTTACAGACTTGTGTATGTTGAACCAGCCTTGCATCCCTGGGATGAAGCGCACTTGATCGTGATGGATAAACTTTTTGATGTGCTGTTGGAATCAGTTTGACAGTATTTTATTGAAGATTTTTGCATCTATGTTCATCATGGATATTGGCCTGAAGTTTTCTTTCCTCGTTGAGTCTCTGCTGGGTTGTGGTATCAGGATAATGTTGGTCCCATAAAATGATTTGGGAAGGATTCCCACTCTTTGGATTGTTTGGAATAGTTTCAGAAGGAATGGTACCAGCTCCTCTTTGTATGTCTGGTAGAATTCGGCTGTGAACCCATCTGGACCTGGGCTTTTTTTGGTTGGTGAGCTGTTGATTGCTGCCTCAACTTCAGCCCTTGTTATTGGTCTATTCAGGGGTTCGACTTCTTCCTGGTTTAGGCTTGGGAGGCTGCAAGTTTCCAGGAATTTATCCATTTCTTTCAGGTTTACTGGTTTATGTGCATAGAGTTGTTTGTAGTAATCTCTAATGGTAGTTTGTATTTCTGTGGAATCTGTGGTGATATCTGCTTTATTGTTTTTTATTGCATCTATTTGATTCTTCTCTCTTTTCTTTTTTATTAATCTGGCTAGTCTGTCTATTTTGTTGATCTTTTCAAAAAAAACCCGCTCCTGGATTTACTGATTTTTTGAAGGGTTTTTTGTCTCTATCTCCTTCAGTTCTGCTCTGATCTTAGTTATTTCTTGTCTTCTGCTAGGTTTTGAGGTTTTTTTTTGATCTCGCTCCTCTAGCTCTTTCAATTTTAATGATAGGGTGTCAATTTTAGATCTTTCCTTGCTTCTAATGTTGGCGTTTATTGCTATATATTTTCCTCTAGACACTGCTTTAAGTGTGTCCCAGAGATTCTGGTATGTTGTGTCTTTGTTCTCGTTGGTTTCAAAGAACTTCTTTATTTCTGCCTTCATTTCATTGTTTATCCAGTCAACATTCAAGAGCCAGTGTTCAGTTTCCGTGAAGCTGTGCAGTTCTGAGTTAGTTTCTAAATTCTGAGTTCTAACTTGATTGCACTGTGGTCTGAGAGACTGTTTTGATTTCAGTTCTTTTGCATTTGCTGAGAAGTGATTTACTTCCAATTATGTGGCCAGTTTTAGAGTAGGTGTGATGTGGTGCTGAGAAGAATGTATATTCTGTGGATTTGGGGTGGAGAGTTCTATAAATGTCTATCAGGTTTGCTTGGTCTAGGTCTGAGTTCAAGCCCTGGATATCCTTGTTAATTTTCTGTCTGGTTGATCTGTCTAATATTGACAGTGGAGTGTTAAAGTGTCCCACATTATTGTGTCGGAGTCTAAGTCTCTTTGTGTGTCACTAAGAACTTGCTTTATGTATCTGGGTGCTCCTGTATTGGCTGCATATGTATTTAGGATCATTAGCTCTTCTTGTTGCATTGATCCTTTTGCCATTATGTACTGTCCTTCTTTATCTCTTTTGATTTTTGTTTAAAGTCTATTTTATCAGAGACTAGAATTGCAACTCCTGCTTTTTTTTTGCTCTCCCTTTGCTTGGTAAATCTTCCTCCATCCCTTTATTTTGACCCTATGTGTATCCTTGCACGTGAGATGGGTTTCCTAGATATAGCACACCAATGGGTTTTGGCTTTTCATCCAATTTGCCAGTCTGTGTCTTTTGATTGGTGCATTTAGCCCATTTACATTTAGGGTTAATATTGTTATGTGTGAATTTGATCCTGCCATATTGATGCTGGCTGGTTGTTTTGCCTGTTAGTTGATGCAGTTTCTTCATTGTGTTGATGGTCTTTACCATTTGGTATGTTTTTGGAGTGGCTGGTACTGGTTGTTCCTTTCTGTGTTTAGTGCTTCTTTCAGGAGCTCTTGTGAGGCAGGCTTGGTGGTGATGAAATCTCTGAGTAATTGCTTGTTTGTAAAGGATTTTATTTCTCCTTCGCTTATGAAACTTAGTTTGGCTGGATATGAAATCCTAGGTTGAAAGTTCTTTTCTTTAAGGATGTTGAATATTGGCCCCCACTCTCTTCTGGCTTGTAGGGTTTCTGCTGAGAGATCTGCTGTGAGTCTCATGGGCTTCCCTTTGTGGGTGTCCTGACCTTTCTCTCTGGCAGCTCTCAGCATTTTCTCCTTCATTTCAACCCTTGTGAATCTGACGATTATGTGCTTTGGGGTTGCTCTTCTTGAGGAATATCTTTGTGGTGGTCTCTGTATTTCCTGGGCTTGAATATTGGCTCACCTTGCTAGGTTGGGGAAGTTTTCCTGGATACTATCCTGAAGAGTGCTTTTCAGCTTGGATTCATTCTCTCCGTCACATTCAGGTACACCTATCAAACATACATTAGGTCTTTTTACATAATCCCATATTTCTTGGAGGCTTTATTCATTTCTTTTTATTCTTTTTTCTCTAATCTTGCCTTCTCATTTTATTTCATTGAGTTGATCTTCAACCTCTGATATCCTTTCTTCTGCTTGGTCAATTTGGCCATTGAAACTTGTGTATGCTTCACGAAGTTCTTGTGTTTTTCAGCTCCACCAATTCATTTATGTTCCTTTCTAAGCTGTTTATTCTCATTAGCATTTCATCAAACCTTTTTTTAAGGTCCTTAGTTTCTTTGCATTGGGTTAGAACATGTTCTTTTAGCTCAGAGAAATTCCTTATTGCCCACCTTCTGAAGCCTGTTTCTGTCAATTCATGAGACTCATTCTCCATTCAGCCTTGATCCCTTGCTGGTGAGGAGTTGTGATCCCTTGGAGGAGGAGAGGCATTCTGGTTTTGGGTGTTTTCATCTTTTTTGTGCTGGTTTATCTTCATTTTTGTGGATTTATTTACCTATGGTCTTTGTAGTTGGTGACTTTCAGATGGGGTCTCTGAGTGGACATCCTGTTTGTTGATGATGAAGTTATTTCTTTCTGTTTCTTAGTTTTCCTTCCAACAGTCAGGGCCCTCTGCTGTAGGACTGCTGGAGGTCCACTCCAGGCCCTGCTTGCCTGGGGATCACCTGCAGCAGCTGCAGAACAGTAAGGGTTGCTGGCAGTTTCTTCTTCTGCTATCTTTGTCCCAGAAGGATACCTGCCAGATGTCAGTCTGAGTTCTCCTTTATGAGGTGACTCTTTGGATATATGGGGACCGGGGAGCTGCTTGAGGAGACAGTCTGTCCTTTATAGGAGCTCAAGTGCTGAGCTGTGAGCTCTGTTGTTCCATTCAGAGCTGCTGGGCAGGTACTTTTAAGTCTGCTGCAGCGGAACTCATAACTGCCTTTTTTTCCCAGGTGCTCTGTCCCAGGAAGGTAGGGCTTTATTTATAAGTTTCTGTCATTCTGCTGCCATTTTTGAGGGCTGCTCTGCCCAGCAAGGAGGCAGAAACGCAGCAGAGGCGTTTCTGAGCTGGTTGTGGGCTCCGCCCAGCTGCCATGTGAACTTCCCTGCAGTCTTATTTATACCGGTGTAGTTAGAACTGCCTCGGCAATGGCGGCCTGCCTCTGTAATGGCAGACTCTCTCTGTAATGGCGGGCTGCCTTGGCAATGGCTGACAGCCTCGGCAATGGCAGACTACCTCAGCAGTGGTGTACTGCCTCAGTAAACTCCCCTCCCCCACAGAGCTGGACCATCCCCAGTTCAGCTGTGTTTGCTGTGAAACTCTCAATCCAGAGCGTTTCAGATTGCTGGTGTTTGTGGGGGTGGGACCAGCCATGCCTGATCACCTGGCTCCCTGCTTCAGACCCCTTTTTTTCAGTTAAATGAGTGACTCTGTCTCCCAGGCGTTCCAGTCACCAGTTGAAATGGTGCCAAGATTTGTGTGAGTTCTTGTACAGAGACCTGCTGCGCCAGCTGAAACAGCCACATTGGGGGCTCATGGGGCTTTTCCACCCAGGAATCTCCTGGCCTGGCTCCGTGTTTCAGCCCCCTTCTTATCAGTTGAATGGCAACTCTGTCTCCCAGGTGCTCCAGTCACCAGCTGAAAGGGTTCCCCGACCCATGTGAGTTTTTTATGTGGAGACCCACCTGCTGGCCAAAACAGCTATGCTGGAGACCCGTGGCGCTCCTCCATTGGGGAATCTCCTGGTCTGTGGGCAATAAAAATCCATCTGGAAATGCAGCATCCACTCACCCTCCATGCTCTCACTGGGAGCTGCAATTCAGAGCTGCTCCTACTTGGCCATCTTGGGTCCCCCTTCTCATCGTGGGTCTTAACCCCCAAGGGATGTCAGTCCCCGAGAATTCCTGGACAGCCATTGAGACCTATTCCTTTCCCATAGGATGGCCAGCCGGAGCAGTGACAAGGATGGCGACTCTGTCCACACGGCCAGCGAAGTCCCGCTGACCCCACGGACCAATTCCCCAGATGGGAGACGCTCGTCCTCAGACACATCCAAGTCCACATACAGCCTGACGCGGAGGATTTCGAGTAAGTATCTCTGCTGTGCCCATCTGGGGACCCTGGCTGGCTTTCCAGATACTCTCCCAAGGAGAGTCATATCATGAAGGGTAGGGTTGTTGCTGGAGGAGGGCGGCAGAGTAGGGTGACAGTCCCGGAGACAGGGAGAGAGAGAGATAATGACAGTGTGACAGAGGAAGGCATTGCACCTGATTGCTGCTGAGTTTAATCAAAAGCAATCATTTTGATTGATTTTTGCTTTTATTAATTTTAGGTTTGATTGAAATGACTGAATTGATTAACATTGTCAGTGTATATCATTTCAGATTCTGAAAGATGAGTGTCGTTATATTATATAGGAGGGCTTGTCAATTCTGGTGACTTCAGGGGCCAGGTGGGTTGCATCAGTGACCGAGTGCAGAGGTTGGATTGAAATAAACATTGCCTGAGTGCAGTGACGAATGGCAGCAGCTGCTCTGTCTGGAGAGTTACTAGGGCAGGGTGGGGACTTTGGCCAATTGAAAAGCTAATGTCCCATTAAAAGAGGTGCAGGGTGGCTTTTACTCAGCTGTGGCCAATGGTAGCTGTATGGGATAGGGCTCCCAGTATTGTCTGATTTTTTTTTTAAAAGAGATATTGGCAATCTGGGTCTTTTTTTTTTTTTTTTAATATAAAACATTCTTACTTTTAAGCCTAAATGAACTGTATGTGTGGCTGTCAAAGCTGGTCACCCAATTTGTTCACTCTGTTGTGTGGCGTATGTGTTTGACCAAATAGCACGAATTGGGTGAGGAGGAGAAAAGAGGACAAACACCCAGAGACTCCCAATCCCCTTCTGCTTCACAAAAGTATCTCTGCTCTCTGTGAGTCGGTCTGAAATTCAGGAAACAGAGGGAGAAGCTTAAAATGGGCGAAACAAATTCATTCAGGTGGAGATCATTGATGTTGAATCTTTCCTGGGGGGAGAGGGAAAATAAAAAAGTAGGAGAAAAAAAAAAGAGTTCAAGGGCATGAAATAGTGAAAAACAGAGGGAGCACTGGACTTCTTTAGGCCTCAGTCTTCCTGTCTGTAAAATGAGAGGGCTGGTCTAGATCTGTGCTGTCTGGTATCACAATTACCAGCCACATGCAGCTGTTCAGCACCTAAATGGTACAAGACTGAATGTTACTTATATTCTGTAAGTGCAAAATACATACTGGACTTTCAAGACAGTAAGAGAAACAAAAAAGAGGCCAGGTGGAGTGGCTCATGCCTGTAATCCAGCACTTTGGAAGGCCAAGGCAGGAGGATCACCTGAGGTCAGAAGTTCAAGATCAGCCTGGCCAACATGGTGAAACCCCATTGCTACTAAAAATGCAAAATTAGCCAGGCATGGTAGTGCATGCCTGTAATCCCAGCTGCTTGGGAGGCTGAGGCAGGAGAATTGCTTGAACCTGGGAGGCAGAGGTTGCAAAGAGCCAAGATCATTGCCACTGCACTCCAGCCTGGGCAATAAAAGTGAAACCCTGTCTCAAAAAAAAAAAAAAAAGAGCAAATTTAAAATATCTCACTAAAATATTTTTATATTGGTTCCATGTTGAAATGATTTTATATTGGATATAATGGGTTAAATAAAATATTAAAATTAATTTTGCAGGCTGGGCACGGTGACTCACGCCTGTAATCCCAGCACTTTGGGAGGGTGAGGCAGGTGGATCACTTGAGGCCAGGAGTTCAAGACCATCCTGGCCAACATGATGAAACCCTGTCTCTACTAAAAATACAAAAATTAGCTGGGTGTGGTGGTACAACCTGTAGTCCCAGCTGCTGGGGAGGCTGAGGCATGAGAATCACTTGCACCTGGAAGGGGAAGGTTGCAGTGAGCCGAAATCACACCCCTGCACCCCTGCCTGAGTGATAGAGCAAGACTCTGTCTCAAAATAAATAAAATAAAATAAAATAAATTTTGCCCCTTTTTTTTTTTTTTTTTTTGAGATGGAGTTTCGCTCTTGTTACCCAGGCTGGAGTGCAATGGCACGATCTCGGCTTACCGCAACCTCCGCCTCCTGGGTTCAGGCAATTCTCCTGCCTCAGCCTCCTGAGTAGCTGGGATTACAGGCACGCACCACCATGCCCAGCTAATTTTTTGTATTTTTAGTAGAGATGGGGTTTCACCATGTTGACCAGGATGGTCTCAATCTGTTGACCTCGTGATCCACCCGCCTCGGCCTCCCAAAGTGCTGGGATTACAGGCTTGAGCCACCATTTTTTGTATGTTTTAGAAGCCGTGGCTGCCAGAACATTTTAAGTTACACATGTGGCTTACATTTCTGGCTTGCGTTATCTTTCTGTGGACAGTGTGGGTCCAGATGATTTTGAAGTCTCATGCCCAGCTTTGAACACGGGTGATTTCCATTTAGCACACATCTATCAGTGTACCTCCCTTGCCTCAGGCAAATGTCTCAGAAAGACAGCTGTGTGGGCAATTAGCAAGAATGCCGAGGGCTCATTGCTAGAAGAGAGGGATGTGCAGTTGTTAGAATCATGAACTTGGGATCGATGGACTTGGCTGGTTCATGGAAGGGAGAGAGGCCACCTGTAAGCGATGAGGTTTGAATATGCACCTTGACGTATAATTGTTCCCATTTATTGGTCTGTGCCTACCAGCACATCCTGCGCCATGCCCTTTCCATGCATGAAGATTCCATGAATCTTCACCACATTCTTTGAGGTGGGTGCTATTATTGAGTCTGTTTTACTGATGGGAAAGTGGAGTCCCAGAGAGTTAAAATAACATGCCTAGAGTCACATAGCTCACTGCTATTGAGTACATGAGTAGTGACGAGTAGTGAGTAAATGGTTGGGTAGGAATTTCACCCAGACACTCTGGTCCCAGAGCTCTCTCTCTTAAAGTGGAGGCATCATAGGATAATGGTTACAGCCAGACTCAGGCCAGCGAGGCCAGCCTGACCCCTGGCTCCTCCACTTGCAAGTGTGTGACCTTCGGAAAGTTACTTAAAGCTTCTGTTTCCTCATCTATAAAGTGGGGATAATAGTAATTATCTAAACATTCAAGGGGATATGGAGATTATGATCGTGCATATGAAGTGATGTAACGTACGCAGTCCATTAGAGCAGTGCCTGGCACCTGGCTGCTGTGATAATGGCAGTGGTGACAATAGTGCCACCATACTATCTGTCACAGAATCAGTGAGTATTTTAGAGTGTGGAGAAAGGTGGCAAAGATTATTTTGAAGCAGAGCAAACAATGCAAGAATCTGCTCACCTGTAAAGTGGCCCAGGTCGGCCTTGTAGGTGGCGGTCTTCACTGTTATTTCTGGTGGTTCTCAGGTCTTGAGTCAAGACGTCCCAGCTCTCCACTCATCGATATTAAACCCATCGAGTTTGGTGTTCTCAGCTCCAAGAAGGAGCCCATCCAGCCTTCGGTGCTCAGACGGACCTATACCCCTGACGACTATTTCAGGAAGTTCGAACCCCACCTGTACTCCCTCGACTCCAACAGCGATGACGTGGACTCTCTGACGGACGAGGAGATTCTGACCAAGTACCAGCTGGGCATGCTGCACTTCAGCACCCAGTATGACCTCCTGCACAACCACCTCACCGTGCGCGTGATCGAGGCCAGGGACCTGCCACCTCCCATCTCCCACGACGGCTCTCGCCAGGACATGGCACACTCCAACCCCTACGTCAAGATCTGTCTCCTGCCAGACCAGAAGAACTCGAAGCAAACTGGGGTCAAACGCAAGACCCAGAAGCCCGTGTTTGAGGAGCGCTACACCTTTGAGATCCCCTTCCTGGAAGCCCAGAGGAGGACCCTGCTCCTGACCGTGGTGGATTTTGATAAGTTCTCCCGCCACTGTGTCATTGGGAAAGTTTCCGTGCCTTTGTGTGAAGTTGACCTGGTCAAGGGTGGGCACTGGTGGAAGGCGCTGATTCCCAGTTCTCAGGTAAGGGGTGGGTTTGTGGTGTCTCCTCCTGGGAGCTTTTAAAAAAAGTGATTATTTTTACTTTACTGTTTAAAAGGTTTTTAAAAAATTTTTAAAACCGTTAATCTTTTTATTTTTACTTTTTTGAGACGGAGTCTCGCTCTGTTACCAGACTGGATTGCAGTGGTGCGATCTCGGTTCACTGCAACCTCCGCCCCCTGGGTTCAAGTGATTCTCCTGCCTCAGCCTCCTGAGTAGCTGGAACTACAGGCACATGCCACAGAGTTAAATTTTGTATTTTTAGGAGAGACCGGGTTTCACCATGTTGGTCAGGATGATCTCGATCTTCTGACCTCCTGATCTGCCCACCTTAGCCTCCCAAAGTGCTGGGATTACAGGCATGAGCCTCTATGCCTGGCCAAACTTTTTGTTTTGAAATCACTTTTGACTCACAAGAGGTTGCAAAAATAACAGAGACTTCCTGTGTCCTCTGGATTCAGCATCCCACAGTGATAATGTCTTACAGAACCAGGAGGTAGACATTGGTAACTAACCTAGAGCTTATTTAGATGTCACTAGTTTTTACATGCATCACTTGTGTCATTCTGCGAAAAGTTATCAGATATATAGATTCATGTAACCACCATCACTCTGGAAGCCTCTTTAAAATCACTGATGCTGAGTTATTTAATAAGGAGAATGATTGCGCAGGGTATAAAGCTATCAATCATTTTGACTTTCAGAAATTGATTTTGAGGGAAAAAAGTGAAGGCTGGAAAACAGGATGATGCATGGATGTTTTTCAAGGCAACTGTTAGACTGGCTTCCCTCCCCCTGTCCAGCCCAGGGAAATATGGTTGGCTCCTCAGGAAGCCACACACGGACCAGGCTGTGTCTCCAGTCTGCTGTTGGGCATTCCTCGTGTCTAATCTTCCTTCCCATCACATAGTCAGAATCCATGGGTGCTTCCTGGGTGTCTTTCTTGATACTTGATATCACTGGGGTTTCAAAAAGTTGCTCCATCTCACCCAGCTAGAAACTTAAAGTTTAATGAGGGAGACCCACTAGACTTAACAAATTCCATCTTGCCAAACTCCATTCTTAACTTCAGTGGATGTTGGAAACAGATGCTCAGGGCCAGAAAGAAAAAAAATCAGCACCGAGACAAAGGATCTGTCAGCAAGCAAGTTTCACTTCCTGGACTGCAGGAAGGGGACTCTCGCCAGCCATCTTGCCATGAGAGTACAATGAACAAAGGAAAAGCAGACATATTTATCCCTCACGCATTTGGGGGGTCATCTTTACTGCTGTGTCTAATTTCCATTGGCTGGAGCCAGACCTCACAATCTAAACTAAAAGCCAATTGACTAATAACTTAAAACCTTTTTAAACAGGCAAGGGGCATAGGCTGCAAGCTGAGACATGCCCATGGGCACATCCAGCACAGATATTTTGGTTAAAGTACAAGGACATAGAATATACTATGTGCCTGTAAGCACAGCATGTTTAACAGCTACATATCCGGGCTTAACAAAGAGTTATTAGCACACTTACGATGTATTCTTTAACAAGAAAGGGAACTTTAAAGAGAAACTTTTCTACTTCCCACAGTGGAAGACTTGGAGATACAGAGAATCTGGGTGTCTGCACACCTCACCTCCTTAAAGTGGAGGCTCAGGTGTCACCTTTGCAGATAAGTCCTCCTGCCATGTCACTGCAAATTTGGTTTCCTCCCTTCTTCCCTCCTTTCCTCCTTCCCTTCTTTTCTCCTTTCCTCCTCTCTCCCTTCCCTTCTCCCCGCTTCCCTCCCTTTCTCCCTCTCTTTCCTCTTCTTTTCCTCCCTCCCACTTTCCTCCCTCCCTTCCTTTCCTTCTTTTCTTTCCTTCTTTCCTCCCTCCCTGTTAGACTGGCTGCTTTCCCTGTGTCCAGGCTAGGGAAATGCGATTGGCTGCTTGGGAAGCCACCAACAGACCCGTCTCCAGTTGGCTGTTAGGCATTCCTGTATATTAGAGGACAAGTGTCAACCCACTGTGGGTAGAAGGACGTGGGGAGCCTAAGGAAAGGAAAAGACCCAGCCACTCCTTCCCACTTCTCTCTTCATTCACTCCCTCCCTTCCTTCCCTGCTTCCTTCTTCCCTCCCTTTCTTCCTTTCTCCCTCCCTCCCTCCCTCCTCTTCCCTTCCTTTTCTGCCTGTCCTGTGGGATGGCTGGTGTAGGAACAGCTATGGGAGATGGAGACACAAGGGAGGGGGCTTTGACCACCATGAGGTCAATAAGAGTTGCCTTCCAGGCCAGGCGCTGTGGCTCACACCTGTAATCCCAGCACTTTGGGAGGCTGAGGCAGGAGAACCAAGTGTCACCTTTGTAGCTCCTGCCACGTCATTGGAGTTTCAAAGAATTGCTTGAGTTCAGGAGTTCGAGACCAGCCTGGGCAACACAGTGAGACCTCATCTCTACAAAAAATAATTCAAAAGTTAGCCAAGCATGGTGGTGCATACCTGTAATCCCAGCTACTTTGGAGGTTGAGGCAGGTGGATCTCTTGAGGCCAGAGTTCAAGGCTGTAGTGAGCTATGGTTGAGCCACTGTGCTCACTCTAGCTCACCCCAGCCTGGGTGACAGAGCGAGACCCTGTCTCTTTAAAAAAAAAGTTACTTTTCCATTGGGAGCCATTTGGTGACATGCAGAGAAAATGGCTTTAGGTCCAACCTTCCCCCCACTGCCTAGCTGTTGCGGGATCCCTCTGCTCCCTCACCTCACCTTGAAGTGATGAGGTGAGGAGTGGACCAGATAACCCTGTTGAAGGGTCTGGCTGATGGTGAGCTCTCCACAGTGGCATCCCCAGTTGTCAGGAGCAGACATCTTCCATTGTGAACCCATTCAGAGTGAGCCTGTGACGCATCGACTTCCGGTACACTAAGCAGTAATCACACCTGGTGAATATCTAATTGGGCAGACAAGAGACCGGGAGTGTTTCCCATCACTCCTGATGCGGAGCCTTCTTGCAGCAGAGGAGCTGGCCGTCGCCTGAGCTGAGCTAATCTCAGAGCTGCCGTCTCCCTTACATCTGAAGAGGGGTGGCAGGGCCTGTTTCATGTCACTGCTGGAGCAGGTTTCTCCCAGACGAGGGCTGGCTCCTCACCCTTGATAGAGCTGTGGGCGGTGCCTTAGTCCCATGGGGACTTTTGGGTGCCTCTGTGAATTGAAACTATTCATGTGTATAGGGCTGAGTGCAATGGCTCACACCTGTAATCCCAGCACTTTGAGAGGCTGAGGTGGGAGGATGGCTTGAGCCCAGGAGTTCGAGACCAGCCTGGGCAACATAGTAACATCCTATTTCTAAAAAACATTAAAAAAAAAATTAGCTAGGCATGGTAGCATGTGCCTATAGTTCCATCTTCTCGGGAGGCTGTGGCAGGAGGACTGCTTGAGCCCAGGTGTTTGAGGCTGCAATGAGCTATGATTATACCAGTACATTCCAGCCTGGGCAACAGAGTAAGACCTTGTCTCTAAAAAAATAAAATAACAAAGTGTGTATAAAGTTGAACTATTTCAGGCAGGTCAGCTGCTCTAATTGCTCATCTGATTTACACTCTGGTCTGTCACACTGGGGCTTCCAGCCTTGCTGGTGCTGTTGTCAGCCAGATAGCGGCTGGCAATGCCTTTCACTGTGAGTTTCACTCTCAAATCCTGGCTGTAAACCCCCTCTGTCTCATTCCTGATGATGATGAGTGTTTTCTTAGTACTGTTCAAAGTAGTTTTTGGAAGTGTTATCTGGACCCTTAAGATATTTGTTTTCGGCCGGGTGCAGTGGCTCACGCCTGTAATCCCAGTACTTTGGGAGGCCGAGGTAGGCAGATCACAAAGTCAGGAGTTCAAGACCAGACTGGCCAACATGGTAAAAACCTGTCTCTACTAAAAAATACAAAAATTAGCTGGGCATGGTGGCTCTTGCCTGTCATCCCAGCTACTTGGGAGGCTGAGATAGGAGAATTGCTTGAACCGGGACCTGGGAGGCGTAGGTTGCAGTGAGCTGAGATTGTGCCACTGCACTCCAGCCTGGGCTACAGAGAGACTCCATCTCAAAAAAAAAAAAAAAAAAAAAGATATTTGTTTTCCTTCTCTTCACCCCTCTTTATTATTCTTTGTTTTTTCTTCTCTGATCTGCTCCTTTCTTCATTCTGTTTTCCTTGAGGTCCTATTATATACCTGGCAGTTCTAGTCGGATTAATAACGGTAAATACCACACAATTCCGGGCGGCAGGAGCTTCCATTCTGGTGGGAAAGACAGTTTGGTAGACAGCAAGCCGTAATGCAGCGTGCTGCATGCAGTAATAAATGTGCAGTCAGGACGCATTTTGATTTTTTATAATTATTTTATTTTTTTAGAAACAGGGTCTTGCTCTGTCACCCAGGCTGGAATGCAGTGGTGCAGTCACAGCTCACTGCAGCCCCAAACTCCTGGGCTCAAGAGATCCTCCCACCTCAGCCTCCTGAGTAGCTAGGACTTCAGTTGTATGCCACTGCACCTGGTTAATTTTTTAAAAAATATATTTCGCAGAGACGGGACTTGCACTGTGTTGCCTAACCTGGTCTCCAACTGCTGGCCTCAAGCAGTCCTCCCACCTTGGCCTTCTAAAGTTCGCTGAGATTAAAGGCATGAGCTACTGCCCCCTGCCAAGACTTATTTTATTAAGAATGATCAAAACTGGCCTTGAAAATTGGCACCATATCGCAGACTGAGGTACCATCTCTCAGTAATGCCAACACAGTAGGTCTTGTACCATTGGAGTGGATCAAGATGTTATTTGTTCACATTTGTGGAGCGATGTATTTTAGGCAGAAGTTTTAAATGATGAAATCCACTACGAGGCGATGCTATATGGGTATTTCTCTTTGAATATCAGACTCATACTTAGTGACGCAAGAAGCTCAACAAAAAAAGGCACTGGAGACTGACTGAGGGAGGAATGTGCTCCTGTTGCCCAGCTCATGCCTACTCTGGAATTTGTGCTGGTTGTTA